AGGGAAGCTAGCTTAAAATAATTTCTGTCAAAGAAGGGGGATCCTGGGGGAAAGAAATTACTTTTGATTCAAGCTGAGAAATGAAGTAAATCCCCTATTTTTAAGCAAGATGATGAAGTGACAATTCTGAGAACCAACACTAAATATGTACCTTCAGGGATGACCACCCAATTAATTCCATTCTTGCTGACATTTATCATCACATTAGAAACTTCTTAATGTACATTAGTGCAGCAAAAATGGTTTCCATGAGAATGAAAGATAAAGGGTATTTATCTCCTATACCCACAAAGAAGCAAAATGTTATTTCAGGGCTTTGTAGAAATATAATCATGATGTGCTGAACTAAGTAAACTAGTGTAGTGGAGATACTCCACAATCGTCCTCACTCGATTAACTCATGAATTTTTAGGCCTAAAAGATATCTATTAAAGCCAATGAGTATCATAAAGCTAAAATTATCTACCACGCCAGAAAAGGACCAGCCCAAAATTTCTTTTAAAAAATTAACTATTGCATCACCTTATCATGTACAAAGGACCTTAAATTCCTTAATGTTGCTTTCCCTGAAATAGACATATATCAGAGAAAATAAGATTTGCTAGCATTGTGCTGATTTTCATTCCTGGAGAACTTTCCAGAAACATTAACCAATTTAATGTCCTTCTGAAATAGTTATTTGTGATAGAGAATAAAACTTATGCAAATCACTGTTTTTCTAAGCCCACAAAGTCAGCCAGCAAAAAATTAGAAATAGTCAAGGCTTTTAGAATCTGACAGCCCATCAGTATTTTAGGATGATATTAAAAATGACATAGGAGTTTTTCAAATAGCAACCCAGCCTTTGCTACACACCCAAATGAACAACGTCATTTTGAAACTGAACAATTAACTTGGCAGCATCTCCAATACAGAAGAGTCTCTGAGAAGACCCAGAAGTTTCACAGAAATACTTGTAAGAGCCTTGCATTTTCCACAAGTTGGAAAAAAAAAGAGTTTGGATTGATCTGAAGTAGATCTGAAAGGGCAGGATGATATTCACAGATCTGTGACTACCATACTATATGCAGATGCTCATTGGGATATTGGAAACCATTTGCTGAAGTCATTGGATTTGAGAAGCTAGTTTTAGAACCCTAAAGGTGAAATTACTATTGAATTATTTAGGTTGGGAATGAAGTAGGATAGACTAAACAATACTATGATGAGAGGAGAGAACCAAGGGCAGTGGAGCAGATGGCTTTAAACCAGTTATCTGTCATTTCCAAAGAAGTTCTAAAGCTTTCTGCTCTCTTCCTTTGTGCTTTTGATTGGCATCAGGGATGGGTAAGGGAGTGATTCAGCTTTAGGCCTACTCCTGGAGTCAAAGTTTTCACTAACTGTGTGGGTGCGTGTTATAGGAAGGTTTGAATGGCAGAAGGCAGGAATGGCTAGATGGAAATCATGGCTAAGAGGGAAAGGCAGTAATCCCAGTTTAAGGCAAGGGATGGTATGGAACGTAGAGTGTCTAGAGGCCAGAATAGAGAAGGGAGTTGGAAGGAAAAATAACAAGAGACCCAGAGAGCATAAAAAGAGCCAGCCAAAAATCTGGAGGCCAGAATATAAGACAGGCTTAAAAAGTGGGCCATTCAAAAAAGGTGGGCATGGAAGCCAGGCTTCCAGCTATGATGTACGAGAAGGTCAACAAATCCTTTCCACAAAAAAATCACTTGGACAAAGTTGTTAACAAACAACCATTTTAGGGCTCTGGGAATTGATCAAAGGCAAACAGCAAATTGAAAAAAAAAAAAAAGGTTTAATTTAGGAAAAACTGCTAGAGCTGGAAGTAAGTAGAACAGAAGTCTATAGCCTAGCCGGGCACTGCTCCCATCCCTCCCAGCTCAGTCTATGAGAACTTTTCTCAGGATAGGGCTGACTGAACAATCAGCAGCTTTTTGCCACAGGGGGTGGACTCAATTAGGAGTGGAGGTGAAAACTTGCAGCTATGTCAGCTCAAACTGTTGAACTTGTTAAAAAATAAATGAAGACAACCCATAGCTTTGATAGCCTGAAATTATAATTCCCATTGGGGAGAGCAATGGACCAGCCAGAAATTTAAAAGTAAGATCCTGGAACTAAGAGTCGTAGAAGGGTGAGATAAGCTCGCCACATATCCCTGGCTGACTGGGAAACCAGGAACATATAGAGGGGACAGCAGAGAGTGTCCAGTGGGAAGTAAAATCTAAGGCAGGCTGTAACTTTGAATGCACTCCCAACTCCTACCACAGACCAACTGGCAGAGGGTAAAAGCCCTACAGGCTAGAAGTGTTTGAATAAAGCTCAGTCCTGATCCCCTGAGCACTAAACTATGCAGATACAGGGACAAACTCTAGGAAGTGAGGCTAATACAGTGGTTCTCAATCTGTGGGTCGCCAACCTGTGGGTCATGACCCCTTTGGGGGTTTGCTGGGGTCCAACCCCAGCAGGTCCAGGGGTTCCCAAAGGCGTAGACGGAGTCGGCGAAGAAGGAAGGACACGGAGACAGTGTTCAGTTGATCAGCAGCCTAGCCAGGATCTCCAGCCAGGATCTCCAGCCAAGTTCTGGTCTGGATCTCCAGAGAGGTTCTGCTTAGGATCTCCAGCCAGGTTCTGTGTCCATGTTCTCTTGCTAGGTTCTCCAGGTTCTCCAGCCAGGTTCTGTAGCCATGTTCCCTCGCTAGGTTCTTCAGCCAGGTTCTGTCCAGGTTCTCCAGCCAGGTTCAGTCACCAGGTTCTAGTCAGGTTCTCTTGCCAATTTCTGTAGTCAGGTTCAGTCCAGGATCTTTTGCCATGTTCTCTCTGTCTCTAGGTTCTATGTAGGTTCTGTCTTCTTCGTTCTGTCTTCTGAGTTCTGTCTTATTACATCTGTATTTATACCAGTTGATTCCAATCCTATCAATCTCTATTCCAAAGGTTAGGGCGTTTCTTATCTCCATTCCAGGGAGTAAAGATTATGTAGCTTAAGCATGATTGTTCATAGTTAAAGTGATTAATTACCCGCCTGGCACTTAGTTAAGAGGTTTTATTCCCTCCCTAACTTCAGGGGAAAATCCCTACCTGGGGAAACAACCTTTCTCAGAGACCTTGGTTAAAACACATAGTGCCAAGAAGGTGAGCAAACATATTTAAGAACAGTATGCCATATATGCCAGGTCCCTTGAAACAGCAAGCATGGACCGGCTCCCGGCAGGGGTTGAACAACCCTTTCACAGGGGTTGCCTAAGACCATCTGAAAACACATACATAATTACATATTGTTTTTGTGATTAATCACTATGCTTTAATTATGTTCAATTTGTAACAATGAAAATACATCCTGCATATCAGATATTTACATTACAATTCATAACAGTAGCAAAATTACAGTTATAAAGTAGCAATGAAAATAATTTTATGGTTGGGGGTCACCACATGAGGTATTAAAGGGTCGCGGCATTAGGAAGGTTAAGAACCACTGGGCTAATAAATAAAATTAAAAAGAATTTAAAAAATAAGCAGAGACATCTACAGCTGCATACTATAGAGGACACAGATTCTGTAGTGTAAGTCCAGGAACATTACTTTTTAAAAAGTCTCAGAAATATCAGAACCCACATTTGCTAGAATATATTAAATGTCATTTTCACACTTTCAACAATGAAGATTAAAAAAAAAATAAAATGTCATTTTCAACATGACAAAAATATGCTATGCAAAGAAAAAGTATAAAGCCAAATAAAAAGCAATCAATAAAAACTGACTCTAAATGAGCCCAGTTGTTGGGTTTAGCAGACAAAAACTTGAAAGAAGCCATTATAAATTAATTCAAAGAAATAAAATAAGCTATAGTCAAAGACTTAATGGAAAATATGATGATAATGATTCAATAAATAAAGAATCACAACAGAGAAACAAACTATAAAAGGCATCCATATGGAAAGAAAAGTCCAATAATCAAAATGAAAAATGTGTTAGATGAGTCAACAGCAAATCTGAGACTATGCAAGAAGGAATCAGTGAATTTGAAGCTAGAGCAATAGAAATGATCCAATCTGGAGAACAGAGAGATAAACACATTGGAGAAGTGGACCTTAGCAGATCAGAGTCACAAGTGCTAGCAAGAATGAACAAAAAGTCATCTAAACCTGAACAGAAGAACGTCTCAATTGTAAGCCTCTTATTCATTTGTAAAATGGGGATAATAAGTAGTACCTAGACCTCACAGAATTGACAAGAGGATAAAATGAATTAAAACATGTGCAGCACTTCCTGGCATACTATAAGCACATAATTGTTACCTGCTGTCATCATCATCATCACACACATTTTGTTAGGGGGAAAATATCAAGGCTAGCCCTAGCCCAAAAGTTCCTAAGGAAACTTTCTTATCTTCAGGGACAGTACCTATAGGCAGCTGAAGAGAAGGGGGATAAATCATAACTACTATTGGAAGGAGATAACAGAGCTATCAGTTCTGTGGCACTCATTATCTCATCAAATGTCCTCTAGTTACTTACTAATTATACAATTACTTCTACATTTGTAATCATACTTTATGTTTTTAATATTTGTTCTTTGAGGTCTTTAAAAGTTTCTACCTGAATGTGACATTCAGAAATTTATTTCATATATATATGAAATATATATACATATATTCATATATATTCATATATGTATAATATTCACATATATATTCATATATATATAATATAATATAACATACATATAACAAGATCTAGAAATGCTTTAAATGCTGGCATCCTGATAAACCCTAATAAGCCTTATTTTGATATGTGTTGATGCTAGGAGTGAAGGAGCCATAATTGAACTGAACAAGTGATTCATATAATAGCAGAAATAAGAGTTGCCAAAACATGACACAGATTTTGCCAAAGCAAGATAACTGGCAAGCCAGTTACTCTGACTTGAGGGAAATTACAAAGTCTGGTCCAAAGAGACTCCTTTTCCCACCAACATTATTTATCTATTTCACTTTTACTCACTCTGTTTTTGGAACAGCTTTTCTCAGCCAGAAGAAATCAGACTGTGCTAAATACTTGCGAGTTTGCAGGACGTTGCCAAAGTAGTCAGATTCTGAAAACTTGATCTGAATAAAACAAACCATAAGGATCATTGTTCTAAGTGCAGATAAGAAATGGCTCTGAAAAAAAAGACTTCAGTGCACAAATGAGTGATCAACAGAGAAGCTGCCCTCTTCACAGCCTCTCAGTCATCATCAGTTAACAAAGTATTCACAAAGCCATGAAAATTTCATCTCAGTGATTTTCTTTTAAAATAAAAAGCACAAAAATCAATATGGTCATTTCTGGATCACAGAACGAAAAAAAAAAGAACAAGACAAGCTGCAATAATTCACAATGTGTTTCCTTTGCTTTATAATTGAAAAATCTATTTTAACCCTTACAGAACATATTATCGTAGGTTTGAAATTTCTTGGCCCACATGATTCTTTGAACTTTTCTAAAATGTGTACCTTATTTATTTGTCACATAGGTTCTTCTAATAACATTCAGTTTTGTCAACTCAAACCTCATTTAGCTTATAGATGACTGTTTTAGTCAAATGTTCAATCTAATTTACTGTATTCGACATTTGCTCATGAAGGAAAAAAAATGAAAGCTATTCAGAGACTTATTTTCCACCACAAGCACAATTGAGTCACAAGGACAGTTTAATTATTAATAGAATTTATCTATTAACACCCAAAAATGTACTGGTCACCAAAAATTAATGCAATTACAGAGGCAAGTCATAGATTACAGCTTGCATAGAAAAACAAGAAGTTGTTGGCTCACAACAATGTTGTCTAATAAAATAGGGAAACAGACATAATTGATTCTTGAGTTCCCTTTTCTTTTTTGGAAGAAAAATGGCAGTTTCAATTCCATAGGCACTCTCTACATAAAATTAGCAGTATTTAGCTAAAACATTGTAAATAATATCTGTGTAAAAGTAAAAGCTATGGTTTTAATGATCTCTAATGCTTTGGTCTTAAAATATAATATTGTATCAAATAAAACAAGAAAAATATACATTGTAATAAGCAAATAACTAAGAGTAATTAAATCCTTATTAGTTGTTATATTTTGTAAATTTAAACCATGAAACTCTTTTATAGGTAAAAATTAAAGTGCAGCAAGTGAATGTACAGAAAACCCACGGGGATTACAGTACAGATATGAATGTATATTTACAACTTCATGATTATAGACTTGACAGCGGCCTATTTGTTGGCCAATATCTGGCTTACGTTTATCTCTACCCTAACATATAGTGGGTACCCATTATGTCTGTAGAGTAACTTGTTAGTGATTCAGCTTAGTCTTTTCAGGGGACCAGGCCAAAATAGAAAGAAAGGAGTAAAATAACTAAAAGCACAGGTAGGAAAGGCAGTAATGAAAATACCAAATTCTGGCATCCTTGGTGTTCTACTTGACCAACAAGTTATAAAGAAATGACTTTAAATTGTCCCTCCATCAATCATCTTATGGGGGTAGCTGATAAATAAATAAATTGTGGTAAAATCACATAATGGAAAACAATACGGCAGTTTAAGCAAATGGTCTGTATGCATGAATATGAAATCATGTGAAAAGCAATGTTGAGTAAGACAAGTTATATGTATGAAAGAATTTAAAATTTTATAACATGTAAAACAATAATGCATGTTGCTTATAGATATGAACCTATCTTTAGCAAAAGCATAAAGAAATGCATGGGAATGATAAACACTGAATTCAAAATAGTGTTTATACCTAGGGAAGAGGAAGGCAGGGGAGAAGGACATTAGGTCAATGACAAGTGCACAATTTCCAATATAGCTGTTTTATTCATTTAAAATATGTGTGTGCATGTATAAAAATATGGCAATATGTTTAATGTTTGTTAATGCTATTTGTTCAAAATATGATTTTACATACTTTCCCAATGTTTGCGATTCTTCATATTAAAAGGAAATCTTATAATCAATTGTATTTTAAGGTAGGTATTTGTACTCAGCCTCAGAAGAAACAGAGTAAGTGCCTTCTTTTAGGAAGCAACCTCATCTAATAATCCTAATGCATTCCCAGTTTACAAATTGTGTCCACTATTCAACCCTTAGCTTTTTTCCATTTTGTTCCCAAGAGAGTTCTGCCAGAAGTCTCAGAATATGACTGTAACAGAAAATTCAGATACATTCTTGGGTTCAGAACAATTTCCAGGAAATTCTCCCAAAGGAATTTCTGTCAAAAATATTAACTTTTTGCGCTGGCTGGGTGGGTCAGTTGGTTAGAGCTACATCCTGTGCACCAAAGGGTCACCGGTTCAATTCCTGGTCAGGGCACATGCCCAGGTTGTGGGTGCATATGGGAGGCAACTGATGGATATTTCTCTCCCACATTGATGTTTCTCTCTCTCTCTCTCCCCCCTCTCTAAAAAAATAAATAAAAACATATTTTTAAAAAAATGTTAGCATTTTTGGTAATATCAGTGGAGTCAGTTGTTACTTTTAGAAGAGTTTGCTATTTGTCAGATTATACTGTTCATCTGAGAGAAAAAAACTTGACGTTCGGGTTGTTCTACAGATATCGAAAGAAAAACCAACCAAATGTTTCCTAAAGAAGAGTCCTATGGCTAAAAATACTTTTAAGTAAATAAGGTCTTACCACATCCATGAAAATAACCATGAGGACCAAAACTCAGAAGTAAATAATTACAATTTGTCAACAGCTTATCATCTATGTTTAGAAGAACAATTTAAAATCTGTTTTATGAAATGCATAGTATTTGCTGTTTCTTAGCCTGGTTTAGTTGATCTATTCCATTTATTTAATGGAAGTTACAGGTGATAAGAGACAAATTTTACTTTTTCCTGTGAGACAGGTTAAGTGTGGGGGTAGGAAGGGGTCAGCCGCAGTTATTACCTTGTGATAGATGGGACACAGTTAGAGAAATTACACAACTTGGCAAAGCTATACGGTCCAAATCATTAGGTTCCTACTTCAATGTTATTTTCATTAGTCTTACTAAGAAAACCAGTGATTTAACAGAAGGAGTACAGGGAAGAAGGAGGAAAAGGTGAGAATTACGGTAAGAGAAGCACTGACTAAATAAATCATGGTACAGTTTAGTTTACTTAAAATAGACAGCTGTTAAAATAATGGTAATGAAGGCTACAGAAGACAAGGACAAAATGATAAAGGTCAGTACACAAAATTATATATAAACATCAATTACAGCTATAAAAATAGAAAGAAAGAAGACACTAAAATGGAATTACGTATTAGTATGTCCGAGCACCAATATCACAGGTACTATCACATGCCTTTTCTCTATTTCCAAAATTTCCACCATGTGAGAATACTTTAATAATTTCAAATATTTTAACAGGCCCTTGAGTAAACAACTATGCAACTCAGCAGCCACTGGGAAAGTTCCACTTGTAGAGATAGCAACAGAAATGAATGCACATGAATATTTTAAAACCACTTGTAATCTTCAAAAAATGTTTAAACTCTGCAAGGGACAATTGTTGGCTGAACAGCCTCTTGTCCTTTTAGTTACTGGTGAAAATCTAAGTCAAGTTGGTAATGACTTTTAATCAATTCCATTGCCTGACTTTTCAATTGAGCGACCTTTGCAAAATTAATTGGGGCTCTTCTGTCCTTTCCTAAGAATAGCTATCCAGATCATAAAATTTAGGGGAATCTAAATTTCTCACCAAATGCCACAGACTAAACAGAATAAAGCTAATCCCCCCACCAAAGGCAAAGAACATGTAATAAGGGCAGAGCACATGTGTTCAGCTTCTCTGCAGAATCACTAAGTACATGTTGATTAAACACTACATAAGTCAATAGAAGTATAGATTCTAGAATACTTTCTGTTTATGTTAAATCCATTTAAAGAGACTCAGAGATATATCCAAATATGTATAAGAAAGATTTTATGTTAGGCACACAAAGAACTTTCTGAATACTTAATGCATCCAGATTTTTTATTTAAGTTTTCCCTTATTTAAATAGGAAAGTAATATGCAAGATTGTTTTTAGATGGCTTTGTCCATAAGTAGTGTGAGTGTGTGTGCATGTGTGTACACACCTACATTCAAACTGTTTAACAACCTACATATACGGTACACTGCGGAAGATGCAGTTCCCACAAGCAGCCACATAAAGGTGACGTAGCAGTAGGTAGCACACCAAACAGGAGCTAGATGGCACCAGATGCCCTGTTGCCACCACCAGGGGTAAAGGGAAGTCTTGGTCTGCTCTGGCCAGTGGAGCACTCTAGATGAAAGCCAGGGCGTGGGAGTTACAGAGGGCTGGCTGGAAGGTTGGTGGATATCCCCTTTCAATGCCCACTCCTGGCTCTCCAGGGCCATGGTGGCCAGAGATCACTTGGGAGGGCTGAGGGCAATGTTTTATTTTGGTCTTCTACTAAATAGTACAGAGGTATTTCAATGTTTTAACAACCTGTCTTTCTGGAGCATTCCACCTAAATATTACCTCACTCTTGCATAGTGGCAGTAGCACTATCATTTATATACACATAAAACACACAACACATATAAATAGTTATACATTATTATTCACACACACACACTATAAATATATATATATATATATATATATATATATATATATATATATTCCACTGGCCAGAGCAGACCAAGACCCACTAGAGAATATTATGTGGGTTCACATAATACCTATACATCTCTATATGTATATTTATGTTTATGTATATACTAGAGGCCCATTGTACAAAGAGATTCGTGCAATACGCCTTCCTTCCCCTGGCTGCTGGCACCAGTTTTCTTCCGGCACCTGGGACCCAGGCCTTCACTCCAGCCGCAGCAGAGAAGGCAAGCCTCTTCAGTCTTCAGTCGTCTTCAGTCTTCAGTGTCTTCAGTCTTCGTTCCACACCTGCATATGCAAATTAACCGCCATCTTTGTTGGGTTAATTTGCATGCTCATCCTGATTGGCTGGTGGGCATAGCAGAATGATACCAATTTGCATGTTTCTCTTTTATAAGTGTAGACTAGAGGCCCGGAGCACAAAAATTTGTGCACTCAGCGGGGAGAAGGGTTCACTTAGCCCGGC